CTAGCATTGAAATACATTTCCTTTTCTTCACTCTTTGTGGGTTTATCGGGATTCTTAATGGGTTTCATCCCATCACAAGTGACTCTCCAAACACCCAAATCAACTGCCTCAAGGTGGCAAGCCATTCTAGCTTTATAATAGTGGAAGTTAGTGCCGTCGAAGTGCGGAGGCCTAGAGGTATCCATCCCAACCACTCTAAATAACGTCAGCTCAACGGCGGTTAAGCAAAAGGTCCAAATTGAGCCAACCGGCTCTGATACCACTTGTAGGGGACCGTGACACCTAAGAGGGAGGGGTGAATTAGGTAACTTAAAAATCTAACTCTAAACTATGGCCTTTTTTCTAACCTTAGCAAAACCTATGCAAAAGATAAACTATCTAAATATGCAACTATGATTTTGCTAGTGTGTTGCTATCTCTACCACAAAAGGAGTAATACAATCAATGTAAATGAGGAAGCTAAAGAGCAAGGTAGAGATATGCAAACTCCCGTCGACGACTCTGGTATTTTTACCGAGGTATCGAGAAGCGCGTAAGCTTCCCCCTAGTCCTCGTTGGAGCCCCTCGCAAGGAATCCCTCTCAAGGGTCAGGATCCCGATCGGGTAACTCCATGGATAGCCTCGGGCCTTCCCCACATGCAAGTGGGTCTCCGACGTGCCTTCCGACAAGCCTCTCCCGGATGCTCCCCACTGTCTTCACTATCAAGCTTCCGGCCGAAACGCCGCGAGCCTTGTTCCCTCCAGTACACGGTGGCGGCCACACCACAAACGTGGTCGGTATGATCTCGCAAGACTACAAGCACCTCCGATGTACAACAATGGTGCGCGCAAGCACCGAGTGGTAAGAGGTATGCAAACCTCACTAAACACTAGGCCTAAACCTAGAGCAAGCGCATATGCGGTGGTCTAATCAACCTAAGCACTTCGTAAAACACCTACGCTAATCACCTAATGAATCACTAAGCACTATACAAGTGGAGATCACTAAAATGGTGTATCAACAACCTTGATATATTTTCTCAGCTCCACACTCTTTAAATGGCTGGTTGGGGGTCTATTTATAAGCCCCATTGAGAAAGTAGTCGTTGGGGACGAAATACCGCTTTTCTGCTACTGACCGGACGTTGATCATGTCCTGACCGGACGCGTTCGGTCGTCCTGACTGTTAGAACCGTGATCAACTGATCGGACGCTGCTAGCGTCCGGTCACATGCCACCGGACGCGTTCGGTGGTTATTTTGCCGCTCTAGAATCTTTTTGTACTCAATCAGACGCTGCAGTCCTACGTCCGGTCGATTTGCCGCCAGCGTTCGGTCGCTGTTGCTGACGCCTTCTATTGTCGAGCCTCTTGATCGGAGCATCCGATCGCTATATGCCAGCATTCGGTCACCTTTGTGAGCTCGTTTCTTTGCGATCTTGCGTCCGGCTTGGTTCCTATCTTTGTGCTTGGACTTTGCTTGATATCTTGAGTGTTTTCTTATGCTTCTAGGGTCTTGCTTAAGGTGTTGATCATCGAATCATCACGTCGCCTTCGTCCAAGTCACGTCTTGCACCCTATTAAACTACAAACAGTCACTTGCAAATTTATTAGTCCAATTTGGTTGTGTTGGTCATCAAACACCAAAATCTAAAGTAAATGGGCCTAGGGTCCATTTTCCTTACAGCCTTGCTGTTTGTGGCCATTGTACCTGTCCTTTTGATATTGCTGCGCACTTCTTCATGCCACACACCATGTTAAACCTAGATGTTTTGCTTGTAAAGTAATCTGCTGCTCTCCCTATATACGCACGGCAGGGACAGGTGTCGAAAGGGCTCTCCTACTGCTGCACTATAGCCGCAGCTGGGGCAGGCGACAAAAGGCTCCCCTGCCGCACTGTAGCCACAACAAGGGTAGGCGCCAAAGTCGTCCCTCTGTCATATCTAGTCACTATAGCAGCATGGCAGCATAACATGTTTGTGTATAAGGATTAGATGGGTAGAGTTATATATATAGCTTCCCACTGTAACTCAGTAAATAAAGAGATTTTAGTTTTGCCATCTCCTCTGCAGAGCTCCAGCCAACGCTGGTGCTTGTGCTGTGTGGGTGTGCGCTCTGTTCTTCCTCCCTCTTCTACTTCCAGCCGTAGTATGTGTGCGAGAACACCGGTGAACGGTCGGCTCACCCGTGTGGGAGATCCCGGGCCCAACAAGTGGTATCAAAGCGTACCGGCTCTACGACCCACGTGGAGGCAAGGTGGTTGTCTCGCACGTCATCGTGTTCGACAAGAAGGCGGCCTGGGACTAGGACAGTCCAAGCACGGAGGAAGATGGTGGCTTCACCAGCACCTTCGTCATCGAGCACTTAGTCATCCATGGTGGTGGAGACACTGGAGAGGAGGTGTTGACCACTCCAGCAACAGAGCCGAGCACTCTTGGGGCGGTGTCGAGCACTCCGGGAGGGGTGCCGAGCACTCCAGGAATGGTGCCGAGCGGTCCTGCAGTGGTGCCGACCACTCTAGGATGGGTGCCGAACGCTCCCGTAGCGGAGCCGAGAGGTCTTGTAGTGGTGCCGACCACTCTAAGACTGGTGTTGAGCACTCCTGTAGTGGTGCCAACCACTACAGGAGTGGTGACGAGCGGTCCAGGAGTAGTGCCAGGCACTACAGCTAGGGTGCCGAGCACTCCAGGTGCTGTGCCAACCACTCCGGCGAAACAAGGGACTCCATCGACGCCGATCGAGTTCGCCTCACCTCCAAGCGACATCACCGAGTTCATGGATGCCTTCCACGACGGTGAGGAGGTGTGATTTCGTAGGCTGTACAACATCGTCGGTGGCACAGGGTCCTCAGGCCTGGCGGGTCAGCTGCTCAATGACCCAGAGCTGCTTCTCATCAGTGCAGAGGAACCACCCACGTTCGCGCTGGCTGAGCACGATGCAAATTGGCGACGGGCGATGCTAGAGGAGATGAAGGCGATCGAGGAAAACAAGACTTGGGAGCTCGTCTATCCACCTCCAGGATACCGTCCGATCAGCCTAAAGTGGGTGTACAAGGTCAAGCGGGACGACCGCGGCGCCATTATCAAGCACAAGGCACGCCTCGTCGCCCGAGGCTTTGTCTAGCGTGAGGGCATCGACTTCGAGGAAGTCTTTGCGCCGGTAGCACACATGGAGTCTATCCGACTGCTGCTGGCTTTGGCAGCAGCGAAGGACTAGCGCGTCCATCACCTGGACATAAAATCGGCCTTCCTCAACGGCGAGCTGGCGGAGACGTTCTTCGTCAGGCAACCTTCGGGTTTCACCGTCAAGGGAGCAGAGCATAGGGTGCTCTGACTGCACAAGGCGCTCTACGAGCTACGACAGGCCCCGCGAGAGTGGAACGCCAAGCTGGGCGAGCTTGGGTTCACGCGGTGTGCAACCGAGCATGCGCTCTACAAGCGGCGACGGGGGGAAGGAGGAGCTCATCATCGACGTGTATGTGGATGACTTGATCATCACTGGCGCGCGTGCGGAGGACATCGATAGCTTCAAACGCGAGATGGCGGCTCGTTTTCGAATAAGCGATCTCGGCGCGCTCTCCGATTACCTCGGCATCGAGGTGAGACAGGGGAAGGAGGCGCTCATGTTCGGTCAGAGCACGTACGCCTCAGAGCTGTTGGAGAGGAGCAGCATGGATGAGTGCAAGCCATGCGTGACTCCGATGGAGGAGCGGCCGAAGCTGACGAAGGCTAGTACCGCGGCGAAGGTAGATGCAACACTCTACCGGAGCATCGTCGGTGGTCTGCGCTACCTAGTCCACACGAGGCCAGACATTGCGTTCACCGTGGACTACGTCAGCCGCTTCATGGAGGATCCCCGAGATGATCACTGGGCCACGGTGAAACGGCCGCTGCGCTACGTCAAGGGGACGATGGATCAGGTGATCGTCTTCCCCAAGATCGGCGGAAGTGGGCTACAACTCACTATGTTCAGCGATGCAGACATGGTGGGGGACATCGACGGACGGCGGAGCACCTCTGGCGTGCTCGTCTTCCTTAGGTCGGCTTCAATCTCATGGCTGTCGTTGAAACAGAAGGTGCTGGCGCTGTCCACGTGCGAGGCAAAGTACGTGGCGGCGGCCACAGCGGCGTGCCAAGCTGTGTGGCTGCGCCGGCTGCTAGGCGAGCTGACCGGTGTAGAAGCTCACCGACCAGCACTGATGGTGGACAACCTGCCCGCCATCGCCCTCGCGAAGAATCCGGTTCTCCACGACCGGAGCAAGCACATCGACGTCAAGTTCCACTTCCTCAGGATTGTGTCGATGAAGGGCAGATCGTCATCGAATTTGTCGAAACTGGTCGGTAACTCGCGGACGTCCTCACCAAGCCGCTCGGTCGTCTTCGGTTCACGGAGCTAAAGAAGATGATCGGCATGGTGAAGATTCTAGGGTTAGCAGCAGGATTAGGGAAAGAATTGTAAAGTAATCTGCTGCTCTTTGTGCTGTGTGGGTGTGCGTTCTGTTCTCCCTCTCTCTTCTACTTCTAGCCGTAGTGTGTGTGCGAGAACGCTGGTGAGCGGCCGACTCACCCGTGTGGGAGATCCCGGGCCTAACATTGCTTTCGCTTTGTGTTGCCTCTGTGCTTAGTGTTATGAAACTAATGACACAATATTATTCTTTTTACAATTTGCATGACGTCGTTGCTGTTTGCTATGTACGAATTGGCCTTTTTCTTTGTATAGCTCCAAATCCCAGTATGTCATTTTACACCAACATTAGGTACACTGGATATATGTTTTCGTATATAGGTGGATATATCTTCTTACATAGCTTATTCAATACAGTAATGAAATCATCATTCACCCCTTCCCGCAGGCCGCAGTAATGCATTTACAGGAATAGGAGCATTGTGTCATGCAAGAAATAGGTTAGTGATACTCAGGAAATTGAAGTTTTCCTCTTCCTGAATATTCATCCTCCTGTGTATGTACAAAGCCTTCAGGTGTTTACGTCAATCGATAAAGTGCTTGTAATTTGTCCCGAGTGTTAACTGATAGAGGGGAGAGTAGGTTGACTGAAGCCGAGGCCAGAAACCCCATCCAAGGAACCAGGGGCAACATGTTTTACTTGGCCATACCGCCTGATATGGCGAAGGAGCCTGGCAAGGAAGGTGCTGTGACAAACAGTGGAGGTATCACAAACCACTGTAACGTGCTTGCGTTCTCTCGTAATAGCCACATTGATGCGCCTGCTGTCGCCCAGAAACCCTACAGCTCCTACTGGATTCGAGCGAACCTAGAATCGATACAGATATAAGCCTCAGTATAAAGTAATTTTTTTCTTGAACGTGCCATAGTCACGGTTTTCATTAAGCAGAAGTAGAGTTTTACAAATTAAAGCTGAAACGGTAATTTTTGATTACCGAGCTAAAGATTGACAGAGATCACTCAAGTATAAAGTAATGGAAAACGAATTGATTTGTTACTGTGAATCTCATTCATACTTCTATGATATAGGACTCAAAAAGAGAGCAGACATGCTACAGTGCTTACCATTGATATGATCACTGCATCTGCCTCCCTCCCCTGAAAGCTATCTATGGTTGAAACCTCAACAGCAGAAAGCCCAGGATATTCTTCTAGCTTCTCTCTTAACAATTGCACTTGAGCAATGTAGGGTGACTGAACAGCAATTGCAGTTGGAGACACTCCTGCAACCATGATTTTTGAGGCGCCTGTCAGCTCAATAATCCAAGCATAGAAAATTAGGGATAAGTAGGTTCCGCTGATCAAGGCTAACTAGTAACTGTTAATCCTAATCAATAGCCAACAGGACTGAAATAGGAATATAGAACATGAACGAAATATGCAAAGAAAAGCATGATACAACATTGCAGTGTTCAAGTAAAGAAGTAAATGGTGTGTATATACCACAGAGTACTAGATTAAGAACTTGCTGTGTGACTATATCTGCTTCTCCTTCATTATAAAACGAGCCTGTGCCTGCAGGATCTAAGTGCTCCTTGCAACCAATGTTTAGGGCTCCATTTGGCATCCGGGTGTCAAGTAAGAGCAGTGGGCACCGTGTTATCCAAGTAGCCTGAAATCAACAAAAGATCCAATTGACAGGTCTGCATTTGTTCAAGGATTCAGGCTAGCTAGCAACACAAAGTGCAGTCATGACAAAAAAATCCTAAAGAAAAACGTGTGGGTTTCAAATAAAATAAGAAAACAAGAACGAAGACACTTTGGGTTTGGTCCCAGAGGCAGTTTGGATCCAACTGTTTCTTTCATACATAAAAGAAAAATCATGCAAACAATTATCTCCAATACCAAGATGTGATGTATAGATAAGTTTTCTTGGAAATTCAGCACAAATTAAGCTCAAATACATGCTCATGCCTATCTGCTAAATAATCCAAGTAGAGTAAAACCAACAGGATTCAGGATTAGTAAAGACGTTATATTTAGGGCTCTTATAATCTTCAACAATAGGTTCTATCCTCAACACCGTACATAATAGCCAAACAGCTTGAACTGAACAGTAAAACAAACAAACTGTCTACAACCTGTGAATAGGTGTAACCGTGTAACAACTAATCAGAACTGTCAGGTACAAACAACTCCGTACAGTAACACGAAAGTGTTGTTTTGGACAGATATACGCCCAAGATATAGCTTTGAACGCGAACTTTTATCTTGATATATTTACACAGAAAATTATAAATTACTTTTGAAGAGTAATTTAGCCATATCATTTTTAAATGTGTAATCTCAATATTCAGAATATATGGCCAAAATTCAAACAGTTTGACTACACAAAACTCAAAAGGCACCCTTTTTAGGAATCATGAAGGTAGATTAGTTCATGAGACTCATGATTAAAAAGTGAAGTACACATAAATGAAACAAGCAAATTGAGGATGAGCATCAAGTAAATTCTGTAAAACCAATGCAATATAGTTGTTCATCGCTGTTTATGAAGCGTTTGTTCAATCTTCATTGTCAAAAAATGGATGCTTTTAACAGATATTGATAGAAACATATATCAAATTAACAAATCTACTTTCTTAAAGCTCAACAGATCCCTGAATTTAGCATAAGTGGCCTACAGCAACCCTATAGGAAAAGGTTGTAGAGGTTAAGGATGGATGTTTTTTCCTTCATGAAGGATGGATTATTAGCGATCAGATGGCAACGACATGAGATTCCTTTAAACAATGTAGTGAATTCATTGGGATCATTTTGAAACTTTTACATATTTTTAATTAGTGCTCAAGGAAGTCGTCTTATTTTTATTAAAAAATGCATAGAAGGGAGTTTGATCACGATCCTTGAGCATTGAATCAGAGAGTACTAGGCAAGATCACCCACACTTCATACCTGGAACTAAAAGTGCAAATGTGGATACCTTGACAACTGGAGAGTCGGCAAGAAGATGTGAAGCAACCAAACCAGAGGATTTGAGCAATCCATGGTACATCTCTTTAGATGCCCACATGGCTATTGAATCGTGCATTCTGTACTGGACAGCAAGTCTTGTAGTAAGTAATCCATCATGCAATGATGAAGCTGTTTCCAATAAAGATTTACCAAGCCCACCGTCCAAGGCCTTCTTCTATAGTATAACGGGTGCAAGCTGGCAGTGGTCACCGGCAAGAATACAGCGTTTCCCCTGCAATATAGGTATCCAGCAGGCTGGTTCAATCGCTTGCCCAGCTTCATCTATAATTACTACATCAAAGGAACCAGTTCTCCTGACGAGTGGATCAGCTGCCCCTGTATTAGTCGATAGCACAACCTGTGCATCAGAGAGCACTTCTCTGATTGTTTCCTTTTCTTTATTTTCTAGATCCTTTCCGAGTTGCTTCAGAAGTTGGCGAATGCCAGCAGCTAAAGAATCATCTTCTATGCACTGCCTCAGGTCATTTCTTAAATCTGTTCTCTTTCTCTCAAGCTCCTTCCTGAATTGTCGAAGTCTGCAATTCACAATCTCTCCCAAGGACTTTGAGGCAACAGAGGGTGATAGTCGAACAGGGTTCCCGACTCGCACAATGTTCAATCCAGTACTCGACAAACTTTCAACCATGTTATCGACTGCCGCGTTGCTTGGAGCTGTCACAAGTACACGCTCGCCCTGCTTGACAGCACGCACAATCAGCTCAGTGAGCAAGACTGTCTTTCCAGTGCCAGGAGGCCCTTGGATTATTAGAACGGGCCTCTTTTTGTTCAAGCCTAATTTCAGAGCCCTTAACTGGGAGGCGTCATATGCATACCTGTCTGATAGACTCAGATCAGGTCTACTTGATTCATCCCAGTCAGTCAGGTTATTCTTCGCCATCTTCACCACGTCTTTACTGTCCCCAAATAGTGTTGCCACAACGCCAATGGAGACATTGTCTTTCTGTAAACCATTCCTTTCAAGAAGCATTAACGCTTCAAGGTTCCACCTGCCGTCTGCCGCCGAGATGCCTGCACTGCCATGAGTTCCGGCACCTGGCCAGGGACTGCAACCGGCCTCGTTCAACGGTGTACGACGGTAACAAGGGGCCACAACACGTCAACTCTGGGAGCTCGAGTGATGTCGGCGCTGTGGGTCGTCGACCGCGACCGGTTCGTGCCAGCAACTACGATGCTCGGCAGGTGGACGGTGGTGGCCAGCGGCGGAGGCCTCCTACAGCTACTGGTACAGGAGGCTGGCCACGACCGCGTGCCCGGGACCTTACCCCGGCCACCTGGCCACCCAACCACGGTGGTCCGGTGGAGGCGGGTACAGCCGCGCCTGTGTTGTCTGCTCCAGCGTCTGTCGGCCGTAGGCGGCGACGGCGGCGGCGAACGAGGCGGCAGCGGACAAGACGCCGGACACAACCGGTGCTACACAACAACGACTTCCCCGGCGACGCTGCAGCCGACCGCGGCGAGGCCACCGGCACCGCTGCGGCGCCGGAAACCACTGCAGCAGCCGACTGTGCTACCATGGAGGGTCACAGTGACCCCACCAGCAGCTCCATTGCTCGGCCGGCGGACCACGGTGCTTCGCGTGGCACTGGTGAGACCATGCCGGACAGCGTCGTTCCTGCCAGCGGCGGCCAGCGACACCAACGACGAAGTCGTCTCGGGAGGTCGGCACGGGCCGCTACGACGGCGCCGGGGCGAAGCTTCTGCAGTTGCTGCTGCATGCTTTCCTGAGCCAGACCCGCTGGTCTTGGAGACCAGCGCGGGCGCGGGGCCTCCCGCGTGGGTTGACCCGATGCCGGAGGAGCTTAGCGCCACGCTTGTCGCGACCCGACCAGTGGGACCAACAACGCCTTGCTGCCCCACTACTCCGGCGGGCGCCTCCCTAATGACGGATTTGCCCCGTTATCGCCTGAGCTGGAGATGCCACAAGTCACGCCACCGAGGATGGCACAACACGACGTTGCGGATCAGGCGGCCGATTCTACGCCAACGCGGGTGGGCCATCCAGGCGCCGACAACGCGGCGCCGCCCGTATCGAGGGCCGAATCCCTGTTGGCACAGTTGAAGGCGCGGGTATGCATCCCGCTCGACACCCCGTTGCTCAGCACGCCGAGGCTGAGAAGGTCCAAGACACCTTCAATGGTGGTGCGTCGGAGTGGGAGGCTGGCAGCTAAGACCAAGGCCTCCAACCCGACTCTCCAAGCACAAAATATGCTCAAGCAAAAGCTGGGGATCGCAGATAGGCCGCAAGGTCCGGACCCTGTGGCTTTGGACAGTCTCAAGGCCCTCTTTACTGCGCGGTTGTCGCCCTCCAAACTAGAGGCCCTTCAGGCGCTCTTCGCTCCCGGCTTCGATCCGGTTGCCATAGAGCTGAACCTCACTGGCTTCGAGGACGACGCTCTTTACCCGTTTAGCCGCTGAGCTCAGGGTCTCCGGGAGGCTTGATCCTTCACTTGGTCGCTAAGTTTTTTCTTCTGTAAATCACAACTATGTGATTCTGTCAATTTTTGCTCGGTAATAAAAAATTACCGTTCCAGCTTTAATTTGTAAAACTCTACTTCAATACCGTGCCAAAAAAAGATTTATTTACTTCATATATCCCTTTTCTAACGCTGGCATTCCCAACATCTGGTTTGCCTATTTCTTACCAATCTAATACAGGATATATCTGTTCGCTGGTTGGTGCTGGTGCTGGTTTTTTGTGAGAGGAAAACACTGTTGGCTGACTGGTTTGGGCTGGTTGAAACCAACAAGCGAACAGTCAAATTAGAAAAGGTTTCAGTTCAAGGATGGCTGATTGATTTTTTTTTTTGAACGCATTGGCTGATTGATTCTTTAATGGAGAGTTGCTTGAAGGAGCCATAGTTGCACCAGGTAAAGTTGCAGTGCATGATATACTAGAAACATTTACATAAGATTCTTATCATATCACTGACAAGTTTCAAAAAGATCATTAATACTGACTGATGAAAGCACTAAAGCAAAGACATTTTAGTTATGACAGAATTTCAATACCTTATATCTAAGAGAATCAGCCAATCCCTGAATTCGGTCAATTCGCACACTTTTCCCAAATAGCCTACAGAAGGTAGCATCACCATGGCGTGATTCAAGAGCTACAGTTATGCTGCAACCATCTTCCCCAAGATTATAAACAAAGCCTTGCTTGCAAGAAGTGGTGCCCTCACCTCGGCTGTTACATGTTCTCACACAAACCATGTCTCCAGGAGACAATGTAGTTGGAGGCAGCTTATGCCCACCTTCAACTCTGAATAGAACCAAATGCAGGCCTCCCAACCCTGCAAAAGTGGCAATTTGGGACAGCAGAACACATCTTTACTCATTCAATCTGTCAAAGTAACTGAGGATAAAATTTGAACATAAAAGCAAAGAAGTAACCGAAATTGTTCCCTCACCAATGGAGCTGATGATCACATTCAAGTTGCAAATGGTGTCACATTGCTCCTGCTGAGCCTGCCCATGGCTCACCAAGTACTCGACAGGCTTAGGTGGCTTGGAATCATCATCTAGCATTGGAGGGGCATTCAGCTCCTCCTGTGTAAACTCCAGCTCCACATCCCGCTCAATCCGAAGAAGATCTGACATATGTCTAACAAATTCTTCAATTCTGGTCTGCATCAGACTCACCTTTTTAAGGGTTATACCAATGCTGCTGTGCACGGCCTTAGGCCGTGGAGATGTCGTTCGCATGGCAGCCCGGTGCTCTGAAGAATTGGCCATTTCTTCCAAAATCCTCCATGGCTGCGTGGCTCGCAAGTCCGAGATGAGCCCCTGGTTCTGGTAACTCAACAGAACATCACAGAGCTCACGCTGGAAATGGTCGAACAGGGTGGGGTAGTGCGTGCAGGCCTTGAGGCAGAGCGCCTCCAGACCCTGGGGCATGGGCGCGGCCGAGAGGTAAGGCTGCGCCTGGATGACGAACCCAAGCCTGCCTTCCGCCGACCCCCACTCCAGAGCCAATGCCGTGGGAACGAGGTCGCCTGCCATTTCGGCCGCGGCCAGCTTGGACGCCAGGGACCGCATTCCCTGCCTGAGCCACTCCACCACGCACCGGCCGAGCTCCTTCCGCCCCAGAGGATCGCCGTTTTGGTACAGCGTCGCCACACTGATGGGCGCCTCCTCCATCGACGGCACGCATTCGCCCCCTCCTCCACCTCCACCTAAGCCTTTCTCTTCTTCGTCGACCTTCCTCCTCCGTACCGGCCTCTTCGCGGTGCTGCTGACGGTATGTCGGGGGTCTGCTTGGTGGGGCTCGATGGCACGGTCCGTGCGCGCCGCGGCCGAAGAGAAGGCGCATTGGATGACGTTGACCTCGACGGCGTCGACGGCGAAGCACCGGCAGCGAGAAACGTGACCATTTTCTTGCTCGGAGGCTTTGCGGCGGCGCACGAAGAGAACAAGAACTTGCCAGAGAGGATATCAAGCGACATGCTGCTGCTACTGCCTGCCCGGCCCCCAGCCCCAGCCTCCACCGCCGCCGGACGCGCTGGCACAGTCGCGCGGCGGAGACAGCGTTGGGGAGGAGGCGCGCGCGCCGCTCGGGAACGAGCGAACCAACTGACAGAAGGACCGACGAGCGGCTCACCTTTGCAGGTGAATGAATCCTTCGTGGAAAGCTGATATTTTTCGGCGATGGCGTGGCACGCGGAGCGCGCCCCGGCGACTGGTGGCGCAGGGCGCGGCTACGGGCTCCGTCCCCCTCCATACGCGCGCGCGCGGCGAAGCAGTGAGCAAGTAAAGTGCCGTCTCCGGGTTTGGTTTCGCGCGGTTGCCGTGCCTCGGGGGCCTCATCAATTCCAATTGGACGGACGCTCTCCGAGCGAACGCTCCACAACCACAGAGCTCGCAAGCTGCTGGGCCTCGTTTGTCCCCGCGCGCCGCGCCATCGCACGATGATGGTGGTGGCTCGCACGCTGCTGGGCCTCGTTTGGCCCCGCGCGCCGCGCCATCGCACGATGATGGTGGCGTTTGGTTTGGCATCAGGTCGACTTGCATTTCGCGGCCTGCGGACCACATGGCCCGCCCGCCTGGACGGTGGCGTTTGCCGTTTGGTATGGCATCGGATCGACTTGTGTGCACTACTTTTTTCGTCCTTTTTGCTTTTGCTTTTTTTTTCCTATACATTTTCCTTTTCCTTTTTGTTGTTGTTTCTTGTATTAATGTTTTACGTTTTCCTGTATTATACAGAATTTGCAGAACAAATTTGTCATCATAATTTTGTGTATAACATTTTGCAGAACAAATTTTATGTATTATACTTTGTGTGTAACATTTCTTAGAAAGTTAACTTTTATGTATAATGTTTTGTGAATAACATTTTAAAGAACAAATTTATCACCATAAATTTTTATCATAATTTTATATAGTTTTTTACACAATTTTATATATAACATATCATGCTAACTTTTCTATATTGTCATTATAACCCAATTTTTTATTCATAACTATTTGTAGACAAACTTATCATAATATCAATTTCTCAACACAAATTTTCTAGCATAATTTTTGCATAATAATTTTATGAATAACATAACTTATACAAATAAGTTTTTGTCATCTAACAGTTTTTTACATAATTTGTTTCAGACCAATTTCTTTATTCTAGGGTTTCGGTTGCATCGTATTGTAAGCATTCCTATGATATCGTTTGAATTTCATTAGTCAAATGAAAATATTTGGTGCTGCCGAGACACTCAGAAATCAAGTTTGTGCTACTGCGTCTATTATTATTTGGTCTCGCTGTTCCTATCCGTTGGCCACATTTATTCTTATACTGCTGTGATTGATTAAACAGAAATTAGTACTGTGTTGTTGAACACTACTGGTATTTATTCAACCGGATCAGTGCTCTGTGTTTGAAGGTGCTTGACTTGGTGAGAGATTATTTGGCCAATAAAAAAAATTCGATCCACAATGGCTAGACAGCCCCCGAGTAATAGAATATCTTATCAGAAATACTCCTTTGCAGTCGTCTGATAAGGCGCCGTCAGTCACCCGCATCCCCACGCTCTTCGCCCCCCCCCCTCTCTCTCGCTCTCACTCTCTCACTCTGGCGAGCTCCTCCACGGCGGCCGCGGCTGCGCCCCAACTCCGGCGAGCTCCTCCTCGACGCTCGCGCTCGCGCCCGCGCCCGCCCCACCCCCTTCTTCCCCAACTCCGGCGGCTTGGAAGAAAAGGGGTTTGGGGAGGAAAGCCGGCCAAGCGGTGGGGACGACGGGTAGGGCTATTTAGGGGCCATGGCAACGGTGGAGGCGGCCGGCTAGGTCGGGGCACGGGAGCTCCACGGTCGGAGCTCGCTGCGGGAAAAGGAGGGGGCAGGCGAAGAAGGCTCCCATCGCGTGTGCTCTAGGGTTTCGCCGGAGCTACGACAGCGGAGCTCCGGTGAAACCCTAGCGTGTCACAGCGGGACGGTGGGCGGCGGCAAGGGCAAGGACGAGGAGAAGGGTAGGTTGATGGAGCTATTGGCGGGGGTGAGGTGGAAGATCGGCGGAGGCGAGGAGGGCGTAGGGCTGCAAGCGCGAGGAGGGCGCGAGGTTGAAGATGACTGATGGTCAATCACCTGTGCAGGAGACACACCAATAATATTAATTGGACATCCAATTAAATTGGTCTCTGATATATTTTAATGGGGAGAAGAGCTTGATTGATACTGCGGTTGCCAAGACTATCAGCGAATCTGAGAATTGGTGCTTGACTCGGTGAGAGATTATTTGGCCAACAGATTATTTGGAGTATATTTTATTGGTGAGAAGAGCTTGATTGATACTGCAGTTGCCAACTACTATCAGCACAAGCAAGTTATATTCTGGTATAGAGGTTTCAATGACAGGATTAGTTCACTCCTAATTATTCGATTAAAGATTAAATATCTAGAAGACTTGACTTCTGCTGGTACATGAATTGTTAGTGCCGTCAAAGATCGGGAAAATATTCGGGCATAGCACATTTCCGGCTAAAATAATTTGAGGAGCCATGGGCTCATCTCATTCTCTTTTCCTCAAAACAAAGCCGTCCTCAGGTTTGACTTGTTTTCAAGTGACTTCTTCAAAATAGGGCAAACCTAAGTAGAGCATCTCAAAGAGTTCCCTAAATCTCTTCCTAATCCTTGATTTTAGCAAGATGAGAAAAAACATATCTCCAACAACTCATAATCTTTTAGAACTTGAAAAAAGTCACCATGTTCCGCGTAAAGTTACGCGTTTCCAAGTCGCGCATATCTTCTCTCTCCCGCATGTGTTTGTCGGCCAATCTAAAGGTGGAAGGGCGTCGAAAGAATAAAGAGCATGAAAGGGTTCCTGATGCAAATGTACAATAGAGAAAGAATATATAAAAGTGGTTAGGATAATTTAAAAATAATATATGATTTCTGATGTAAAATTGTCTTCTATATTTTAGGAGTGGATTATTAGAAACTCTTGGAGAGATGACCTTCTTTATTTGTTTCAATACATTTTTAGGAGTTGTAAAACTTCATGTTTTTAGAAAAAAAATATTAGGTACTCTTAGAGATGAGCAGTAGGTATAGGTTGTCCATATTTTATATCATGCTCTAAATTACATTGGATCATGGGCTGACTTGATCCCGGGGAGCAACTTTGGAAACAACATAAGGCTACTGGAATATTTTTAACAGCATAGCTGTAATAGTATAGTAGGAACAACAATTTTCGGAGTATGAATAGTCTTATCACAATAGCCACATAGTATTTAAGTTAAGTTAATTTGTCACTATTATCCTTTATTGCACTAAAATTTATTATTACCTTTGGAATTTATTTGAATTAGAGGTTGAGCCAAACCCAATTAATTCCAATAAAAATAGTTAGCTCTTTATTATTAGCACAAGCACTACGTAACAAATTATACACCTCAGTTGAAACATAGTATTGGCCCTGTTCTGCAGCACTACTTTTTAGCGAGTGAATAGTGTTTTCGTCTCACAACAAATCAACATAAACTAAATTTTAGCGAAACGAACAGGGCCATTAAAAGCGGTCTTCCCTTCCATCTCTCACTCTCTGGTCTATATCGTCCGTCTGCCCCTCACTCCGTCATCCATTCCTACTCTCTGCCTCGTTTGTCCGTCTCCCGCTCCTTAGTCGTCCATCACTCTCACCCTTCTCACTTTGAACTTAAAGCTACAAAACCTTCGTTGTTGTTGTGGTGCGCATGCGAGCGTGCCACACCTTCCCTCTTTCTTAAACTTACAACATATGCACATACTAGTCACCTCACCTGTTGAGTCAATCTCTTATTAATTTTCTAGACGAGATTAATCATTTATAGCATTAGTATTTATTACTAGCATTAGACTTTATTCAATTTAAGGTTAGAGATAAGCTTAATTAAATTCAACTAATTATTATGCATACCGTTGCAGTAACTTTCAATGACCATTAGACAAGACTCACCTGTTGAGTCAATCTCTTATTAATTTTCTAGATGAGATTAATCATTTATAGCATTAGTATTTATTACTAAATATAATAGATTTATTCAATTACAAAAGGTTAGAGATAAGAATAAAAAAATTAATATGCGCTAATATATATACAAGTATAATAAAATAAATAGTATTCAACTCACAATTAAATTATGCATACCGTTGCAGTAACTTTCAATGACCATTAGACAAGACCGATGGCCTCGCTCATGTGTGAGTATAGTACTTTTGAGACCTTGTCCGCACGCTAAAATTGAAAGAACCACAAAGGCACTTACACGATGTGTTTAGTTAGACGGCTAACTCCTGGCCCGGTTTCCTGAGCTAATTTTGGCCTGTTTGGTTGCTGAAAGTGGGCTAGAGTCGGCTATCCGTACTGCTGTAGCTGGCCAGGGTTGAACGCCCAAATCGGCCGTTCTGCTAGATCCAGGCCCGAGCCAGCCCAAGTTGAAGCTCTGCTCACCGCCCGAACCGTCGCTCTCTGCTCGCTTCTTCCGCCGCCGCGCTGCTCGTCCCGGCCATCGCCATGTCCGCCGCTTCCTTCTCCTCCTCTCCAGGCCCCTGCCTCTCTCCACCAGTGCCACCACGTCCTTCTCACCTCCTGACCCCGCTCCCTCCTCGTCCTCCGTCGTCCCCACCGCCCTCGGCCTCGGCCTGGACCAGGCCTTGCTTGCCCCGGACGACGCCATCGCGTCGCTCCCGTCCGTCGCGGACTCGGAGGGCTCCGCGGCGGCGATGGCGCTCTTCCACCGCCTGTCCGCCCGCCCGGACCTCCGGCACCTCATGCGTCTCTACGCCACGGCCGCCACCTTATTCGTCGCGCGGGGGAACCTGCCCATGCCGCAGTAGGCCGCGCGCGCGATGGTGGCTGCCTTCGCGGAGCGCGGGCGCCTCCGGGAGGCCGCGGACAAGCTGCGGAGCCACGGGTTCCCGCTCGTCGTCGAGACCGGCAACTGGGTGCTCCGCGTCGGGCTGCGGCACCGGGCTGCTGCTTCGCCCACGCTCGCGAGGCGTTCGACGGAATTGCACTCGCCGCCGGCGGCGTGCGCCCCGACGAACGCAGCTTCCGTGCGCTCGTCCTCGGGTGCTGCCGGGAGGGGGCGGTTCGGGTGCGCTCGTCCAGGTGTTCGACGATGGCCACGGACCTGCTCACCAGGTGCTAGTCCAGGTGTGCTGGTATTACTAGCGTGGGGAGGAAATCAATTTTGTTTGTTTGCGTCAGTTACCCCTGACTGATGGTGTGCTTGTGCTCTGGTTACTTCATTCTTCGTTACGGTGAAAGTCGGCCTTGTTCAGTTTCTCCAGTAAATTTTATTATTTATCACATTAAATATTTGACACATGCATAGAATATTAAATACTATAGATTAAAAAATAACTAATCGCACAAATTACGATGAATTTGCGAGACATAGTTTTTTAAACATAATTAGTCCACGATTTGATAATATTGTGTCACAGTAAATATATGCTAACGATGGATTAATCAGGCTTAATAAATCCACCTCGTGGATTATCGAGAACTTCTATAATTTATTTTATTATTACTATCCGAATATTCTTACGTGACACCCCGATATGACATCGCTAGACTCACCCTCTAAATCTAAACACCATCTGGAACGCCAAGGCTGCTTCCTCTGTCCTGTCCTCTGGTTACTTCATTCTTCGTTACGATTATGACTTTTTTTTTGTGCCTCTCGTTTTGGTTAGTTCAAGAGGCTGCTGCTAGTTGCATCTTGGCACAGTTAAAACTGTTCTATGTTCTTTACTTCATTAAGAAGCTGCTGCTAGTTGGATCTTTCCTGCCATTTTCGTTATTGTCAAGATGCATCTCGTTCCCTCTGCGACCTGTAGGATTGGATTGGAGTGGACTGCATCGAAATGCCTCAAAGGTGATAACTTTATCAATTCAAAGAAGAGGTGATTGTATCAAAATAAAGCAGGCAACCAAACACACTCTAGGGCTAGCCAGGCTAACATAGTACAGACAACCAAATAAATAGGGCTTGGCTTGGCGGAAGCAGGCTAAGGCTACCCAGGCTAGGATTATAGCCAGGCTAGAAGTTGGTCAGGAAACCAAACACACCCATACGGAGCTGCGGCTTTAAGCCGCAGCCGCTGCCTACAGTTGTTCCCTCGTCGGCAAGTACTATAGCATGAACTGGAAGCCGTGCAGCCACCATAGTAGATGCTTTTTACGGGGCTCTAGATGCGCCGCTAGGGTCTCGTGACTCTGAGAGCCGCAACCGTCGTAGCCCTTTGCCTCCACCGTCGCTGGTCCCCCTCCCTCCCCCTCCGGCATATCGCCGGAGGTCGGAGGGAGTGGGGATCCATTGTTTTTAATAAGCTTTTCTATTAGATCGAGTCTTTAGAGTTAGAGTCTCTTCATGTCAAATTTATTCATGTGAAGTTCCTCCTCTCCGGGGACGGTGAGAGGGCAGAGTGGAATCGTTTTCTTCATGGCGGCTGTGTTGAAGATGAGGGCGACAACTACGGCGCCAGCATTCCTCACTGGTTTGACGACATGGACCTTTATTTACGGACGTGTAACACCATTGGTGTTACACCCTAAATCATGTATTAAAACATGTCATGAGCATCATGTTTATGTGTTAACGCATGTGATAAAGTATATAGATCAATTTCTGTATCTCAAAACGATCAATAAAAACGCTAAACGAAAGTTGACTTGATAGTTCATGCATAACAAGTAGGGTTTAAAACCAATTTTTATTAAGCAAAAATGCTATAGAACATATGTGTGCTACTTAAATAAAGTTTGATGTGCAAACTTTGTAGATGACAATGAAATATTTGCTTTTAAAAAATAATATTGCTTTGTAATATTTTCAATAGCCTAGAAATCGTAAATTGAAATCAAGTCAGTTCAAAACTTAGAAAATTTTCAAGTCTGTCAACAGCTAGACATTGCTATGTTTAGCAAATTATTTTGAGAGATTGGGTTAAGGAGTGGTGTAGTGCTATGATTCGATTTAGTAGTTCTATATGCCATCTTGAGTGTAGTGAAGCCGGTTTAGGTTTAGGAGCAACGGTTTGGTCGTGACCAACGCTTTAAAATTCGTGTGAGTACTTGTTTTGGGTTGGTTGGTGCCGGGTGTACGGTCACCGCGCGGCCTCCCCACGCCGTGCACATGGTCGCGTCTCGCGCGGTCACCCTAGGCCACCACGCTAGGTCGGTCGGGCCGCCTAGGCTTGGCCGAGGCCGGCCGAAGCGAGCCGTTGGCCCCACGCCCTATTGTCCTGCCTCGCGCTGCCGCCATTGGTGCCGCTGCTGTCGTGTCACTCCCGTTCTCGCGTCTGCTCGCTGCATCGCGTTGCCCCCTCCCTGGCTCGGTTGGGTGCCGTCCGCACGTGGTCGTGCATGCCGTCATCCCGCTATTAATGGCGCTGCGGCGCGCGGGCCATGGCCGGTCGTGGATGCTCGCGCTCGTCCCCTCGTGCTTGGACGTGAGGTCCCTCAGCCACAACCGCTCGCATCCCGCCAAAGCGAGGACGAACCGAGCCCACCTGTCGCACCCCGTTTCTCTCTTTCTCCCTCTGCTTTCCGCTGCCGTCGAGTCGCGATCACGGTGAGCCAAAGAGCAAGCACCTATCATCAATTCCTTGTGCCTGTGTCTCCACCTTTAAGTCCTCTTGCCGACTAGCCCCACCCCGCCTTAATTACGGCCGGGTCGAGCTCCAATTTTGGAGCTTTTCTCCTGCCGCCGCGCCATTAAGGCCCAGCCTGCCTCATCGTGGCCAGCTCCAACCTCGCCAACTAGTGTCGAATTGACTGCACCACTAGCTCCGCCTAGAACCCCTCTTCGTCGTCCGCACACTAGTCACAACTCTAGTGCCGCCTCCTCGCCATTGACGCGGCCATGCCTTTGTGGTCCGTCGTTCACCTCGCAACGCGCACGTGGCCAGCCTCGCTCAGGTCATCTCCGGCCGAGCCGACACCTCGGTTAGGTCACTGGTGAGTCGTCGTTGCTCACCCACTACCCCTACTGCCTTGTTGTTGCTGCGGCTTGCCTGATTGCCGTCGTCATTGCCGTAGGGAGCCCGCCGTCGTGGAGAGGTCCTTCTACGGCGTCCCGGCTCATGCAACCGCCGCCTATCGTCTCGCGTCGACCCCCTTGGTGAGATTCAGCCTCTTAGCTAGGCTAGCATGGGCCCCGGGTGGCCGGCGCTGTCGCCAGTGCCACCGCTCGCTGCGTCGTAGCACGCGGGGGAGCCCAGGGATCATGCCGTTGTAAAGAGGAGAGAGTACAAGGGTCTTTTTCCATAGGTGTTGTCTCTAGGAATAGTAACATGGATTGCGGGTTGTTTTGTTTATAGTCTAGGAGAGTTTTCGCTAATATGTCAACGCGCGCGGGATTTCCCTGCCGTGGGCCGTCTCCGCGTGGAACGCACCGCGGGTTGTCATGCGCTCGCGCGCGCACTGCGTCGCGTGGGCCACGTGTGTGTCGTGGGAGAATTCGATTTTCTTTTTCATAAGGAATTAGAAATAGTTTTCTAATATAATTTTTGAGCTGATCTTTGGTAAATCATATAAAATAATGTAGGTCTCCAAAAATTATGAAACAAATTTTGTTAAGTTCCTAAAATTGTGCTTTATCTATTAGTGTATTTAGTTCATATATGTACATGTTGATATTAGGAGCTATGAAATCATTTGAGAGTGCTTAATATTACTAGGTTAAATATTATAGGAATTTTTGTGGTAAATTGGTGATAGTTTTAATCCTAAAATTTTTATGGTAGTTTTCTGGTATTATTATGTGCTCACTGTAATTTTGTAGCCCTAGAATAGACTACTTAACATGGTAACTAAACAGCCATTAAGGCTAAAGGAATAATGGCATGATGTTGGTTTATAAAAGTTAAGCACTTGTAGGGTAAGCTTAAAATATATTTGGTAGAGATAATAATTAGCTTAGTATCTTAGTCATTAGAGCTAGTATAGTAGCTTAGCATGTGTATTCTTATTTTAAGAGTTGTTGTTACTAAAATAGTAAGTGTTGCATTATCATTACATGCATTTATAGAACGAGTTGGTGGAGTTCATGACCGTCGGAGAGCAGAAGTATGAAGAGATGATCGAGGAGTACGAGGAGGAGGTCCTCATGGGAGGAGGTCCCGGAGCCGTCACTGACTGACTTAGTTGACACCCCGCCTGCCCGAGGTAAGCCCGGTGCATAACCCTTATTTTAAATAATCACTGGATATATACATATATATGTGATGTGCATTTATGTTACAGGATTTATATTGAAACTACATGCATAGATAACCTACCTATGAGTGCTACTAGCATAGGTCGAGTAGCTGCTATGTTTGGGCTATCGATAGCATGAGTAACCTGCCGTTACTCACAATAGGTGATTATTATTATTACTCTCATGATAAAATGGTGAAAAAAAATAGAGATCGGGCAGGGATATAGTGTGGGTATTGGTGGGTGTAATAGGTTGTATCCCACGACCAACGGGACATAACTTGGTTACATTGTTTTTTCTGTCGTGTCGGTTAAGGACCGTCCATTGCCGTAGATTCTAGTCAGGTCATAGATTTATTATCCTGAGCATACTTGTTTATGGGAGCGAAAAGGCTCGTTGCTCTCTTGTCGTGGGTTCCGGCTCTTTTCGGATCGACTGATTGGAGGTGGGGATGGTAGAGGTCTAACCACCACACTGAGTCCGGGACTCAGGAGTGAGGGCTTGGAGTTCAAGTTTGGACGGGGATCTAGACCCCTTGACAGGAGAGTGGTGGGTTGGTTTGCTTGTGTCTGGGGTATAAGCGGAGCGTGTGTTTCGAGATATCCAGCTAGGATACATTGGTTCACGAATCGCCGTGTGATACGGTACGACTTGGCTATTATCTAGCACCGTAGTAAGAACTGAAAGATGAAAGGGGATGAATGGATCTGATCGCTCAACTCTTGCTTGAAAGTAGAACAGGTGATTACATAGAATGGTTAGCTAATGAACTAATCATAACTGCTAATAAAATACATACATAAGGATTTACTACTAGTAATGCTTTTCATAGAAAGGAAACTCAGCAAACCATAAAGTTTATCATATTCTTTGGAGTCGGGAAATTATTCCCACTAGTCGGATAAGTCTTGCCAGTACATTGTGTACTCAGGGTTTATTTACCCCTGTTGCAGGTGCAGCTAGAGGAGTGATTGTTGTATGGAGGATTCTTCTGGTGGGCACAAACAGATTCGTGTATCTTATCGTTAGATGTTTATTTCAATTCCGCTGTTTAAATTTCACACTCTGAACTTTGTATTGTAATAATGTATTTTCGAGAACTCTTGTTGTATAAAATGGACTAAGTATTGTAAGTTCGTACTCATTATTGGATCCTGGGTGAAAAACGTGGATTGTTCGAGTTTTCCCTTGAGGTGTGCTTGACAGAACTGTCCGATATAGTTAATTTTCGGGATGCTTAGTGTCTAGTGAAGATGAGCGTCTCCGAAAGCGTGTTATTTCGGACGGTTCTGCCACAGGACAGTGACATTAAGGCGGAGATGATGTCACCGTCATGTAATAATTTTCTTTGGTCTCTTCTCTATTTTATTATGATTAGATCTGGTCACGATGAAGGACTAGGAAGAATAAGTTTGAGATCAGTCTTCCTCATTCTTCGGTGGCAGAAAGAAGAAGGAAGACACCAGAAAGGAGAAGTTTCTCAACTCCACCTACATAAATGTTGGTCGTTGTTCGTTGGACATCTGTTCTCAGACTTTTTGCCGAGTGTTTGCCTGTGCGGTCATCCATACTGTAAAACGTCGTATATGTTGGGTTTTAAGATCTGGAGCTATTCACAGTGTAGATATAGTTTAGATGAAAATCTTTTTTCAAGATATTTATGTAATCCAGAGTGTTCGTAGCGTGTTGATGTACCTTACTATTATCTAATATATAATATATAATTCTTCCTTCGTCTTAAAAAAAAAATTGCAGCCGAAACACCCCGCTTGCTTGTCGCGCCCTCCGTTCTCCCAGCTTCTCTCCTCCAGACGACTAGTCATCCCACGGGCCACGGCCATTTTCTATCCCGTCAACGTCAACCACATCGGGGTAGCCCACCAAAGACCACCGCAACGGCGCAATCCATCCAAGCCCCGGCAACTCCCTAATCCCTCTCCCGGAGTCATCGAGATGCCCTCTTCCTCCTTTAGTTCAGCTCCCGCCGCGCTGTCTCGTGGGTCACCGCTCCAAGAACCATGCCCTGCCTATTGCTTCTAGCTCCACCGCCTCGCCCCTGTCTAATCGACTCGGTGAGTCGGCCACCACTCCCCAAATATCGGTTCTTCCTGCCCCAGACCCGGAGGCGGCCAAGTCCGCGGCTTGGCGTGCCAATGGCGGAGATGACCAGGGTTGGGAGCGGCGGGGAACCGCCTGAGTTTGGGGTTTCCATGGAGAGTGACCCGTTTGTGGGAGGGGAGGCGCCGTCCCATCCAAGGTGGGAAGCGAGCCGGTGGGCGCCCGTGGAAGCTGCGTTGAATCGGATGGTTAGTGTCTTCTTGGCATGATGCTGTATATGTTCTTGATAAAGATTATGAGAATCACATTAGCTTTGCTCCAGTGTTATATACTACTAGTACTGTAAAAAGATCTTATCTGTAAACCTAGTAGACTTTGAAACTTGCTAGCCAAGCTGAAAAACGGTTGCATAGAACCAAAAAGCTTACCAAAAGGCACTAAGCAAAGCTCCAGGATATACTGATTCCTCGTTCTATAGGAAGTGTACATTGCTTTATTGTTTCAATCAATCTATCCTCGTATAGGTGTCTACTCAGGCAGTGAATTCTACTTTTATGAGCTGGACGGTTTTCATATGGACATTCTTCGTTGACATGTAGAATCATTAATCTGATTCAAATGCCCTGATTTGTAAAGTTGCATGCTTATTGTCAGGGATAAAATTATGGATGCCCAAACTTCCTACTGACTGCTGAGTTTCAGTCAACCATTACAATATTTGAAAATGACCTTTTCACTAGACCTTGAGCTCAGCTTTGCGATATTACTTGGAATTCTGGCCACTCTACTGAAATCGTAATATTGTGCACCAGAGTAAATGGCTGGTGGCTGGTTCTTTTGCTTTTGCAGCTATTTGGAAGCATGATGCTGAAATTATGTGGTTTTTGCTGGGTGCGGTTGGCAACTCTCTGCTTTCAATGGTTCTTAAAAAGATGCTAAACCATGAAAGACCTGCAGCAGCTCTGCGGTCTGATCCTGGGATGCCATCGTCCCATGCACAATCCATATTCTATGCTGCGACCATCCTAGCTCTTTCATGTAAGAACATCAGAAAGACTCTAGTATTCAATTTTACTTTGATCATAACACGCATTGCAATACATTCTCCTGTTAACACTAAACGCATAAAGGGTGGTTAGAGCTACTTACCTGGTTTAACTGTGTTGCTAACAATAATACTATTTTCTTGTCAGTTTGCTATGTGGCTCTTCATTGCTGATAAACAAAATGAACAAAACTAAATTATATATAATATGCTTATTTTGTGCTCTACAATTTTATGATAAAATTAGGAAGAACAAAATTTTCACTCTCAACCACTAAAACTATTGTATTTTATGATAAAGAAACTTAAGAGGAACAAAATTTTCACTCTAAAACATGGACACAAATCAAACACACTTTTCTCCAGTTGAGCACAATGTGTGATTAATTAATTTCCTTTTCCAATGCAGTGTACTATTGGCTTGGGACAAATTATCTGACCATGATTCTTGGGCCTGCAACTCTGTCAGCGGCCGCCTATCTGGTAAGAATAGTGCCCTACTAAGTTTAACTCCGTTGGTCAAGTCAAGTGTTTCTTGGAAGCTCCAAGCCCCCAACATGTTCGATTATATCCTGAATGTTGAGCTTCTCGTATCAGTAGGGACTAGTTTTAAGTTTTGGCTGCAATCTAACTCTGGTCTTATTCACGTGCAGTCTTGGCTACGAGTGTCTCAGCGCCTTCATACACTAAACCAGGTCACTGTGGGAGCTGTTGTAGGATCTGCCTTCGGTGCTCTATGGTTTGTGCTCTGGCATTCGCTTGTGCAGGAGGCTTTTGCTTCTTCTCTGCTGGTCAGGATTGCAGTTATCGTTGGATCATCATCATTTTGTGTTAGCTTTGTCATCTACATGATTCGTCACTGGCTCAAGGATGAGTAATGTATTTCGTAGCTGCAATGGGAGATCGACTGATAGGCATGATGCGTTTGGATGATTGAATCCGTTCTGATTCTTATCAGAATCGCTTGAAATGGTGCTAAACGGGTTTTGACTTTTGAGCGGAGCGATTCAGGAGTGAAACGATTCTCCTTTCCTTCAGAAACTCTAGGAACGGGGAAAAGCTAGTTTCACTCCGATTGGTGATAGTCACATGTCTCCTGTCTCACTAGCAATTGTATTGTTTCCAGTTAATCATTTTTAAGCACAATAAATTAAAAATAGGTTGTATTTAAGTTGTTCTAAGCCCCCAAAAAGTTCTGATTTTTTAAGAATATTTTTATTTATATGATTTTTTATGAAGATTTTTTTTATTTATTGAATCATAATCTAGTGTACTAGCCAAACGATTTCACGAAATGATTCTTATTGATCAGTAGAAATGTTTCTTGAGAGAGCCTACATCCGAAACGTTTCTATACCACGTCATCATGTTTCAAAGCCCATCGAACGCATGAATTCTTGTGATAGCAAATAATTAACCTCTTGGTTTCCTTTTGCATAGATTTTAGTGCCTTTTAGTTAGTCTATATGACTTAACAGTCAACAATCTTTGCTTCCATGCTATTCTTAGGTAAAAAAACATCAATCCAAAAAGGGTGTTAGGTTTGAGGAATGATTTTACTTCTTGCTTTTTTTTTCTTTAATTTGTGAAATGAAATGCATTGATCCATCGTCACAAATAACATTATAAATAGTGTGTGCATGTTTGTTTCACAAATGATGCTTCCTTCGAGTACAAACTTTTTGTGACACTTCCATTGACACTAAGGAATCAAACCATTCTTTGTGAAATGATATTAAGAAACCAAACTATTTTAGATGAGGTGGTGCATGATGAGTGTATTCCTCAAATTTGATGAAATAATGCTTAGTTTCATTCCTGTACTAATTACTAGTTTATGAGGAATGATGTGACGATGAATCAATCCATTGCATTCTACGAACCAAATATAAAAGTGAGTGAAAAGATCATGGTCTAACTCATTCTTTAAATATTCTTTAAACCAAACACCCTATAAATGTTTTAAGAGTAAAGTTCACGGCCGGTCCTTTAATTTGTAGAGGTGTGTCATCCCCGTCCTCAAACTCAAAAAGTGTGTCGTTACGGTCCTTGAACTCTATTTGGGTCATATTCATCAAAACGGGTCTGGGTCCACGTGTCAGCGCTATCTGCCGCCGGGACCGGGACGTCGTCGTCTGGGCGAACAAGCCTGCGTTGCTCGGGGCCGTGTTCCTCTGCTCCTCCTCCATGCCGCGGTGACCACCGAGGCGTCCACCAAGACGTGCCGCGACATGGAGCTCCGCGTGGCGGCCGTGCTGGACCAGGCCACCGTGGGGATGGGGACCGGCTGGGCGTCACGCTCGACGGCACCAGGGAGCGCATCAGGAACGCCGACTCCATTCGCCGCGTTCGTCGAGTGGCAGCAGCAGCAAGCGGCGCAGCTCGTCGAGATTCACGTTCGTCGGGTGCTCCGACCCGTCCGTGGTGCCGGCGCCAGATGCGTACGAAGGTGGCCCTCGCAGGACTCACAGGAAGCGGTGGCCGCATCGCTCGAGTGTGGCCGTGATCTCCACCAGCTGCGGCGGATCGAACCAGCGGACGACGGCGAGGTCCGCGACCAAGCGTTGGAGCTCTCGTGCGCGTAGAAGGAGACGCGGGTGACGCGCACGCTGCGGACGGGCCCAGGGTGCGTGGCCACGGAGCGCGCGAGCGCGCGCACGACGGCGATGTCGGAGGTTTCGGCCCACACATGGCGCCCTGGTTAGCTCGTTGGCGCGCTGTTGTTCGTCCCATGCGGCAGCGGCGGCTCGCCTGCGCGTCGGCAGCAGCGGCTGCTTGCCCGCGCGGCCGTGGGGGCTGCTCGCTCGCGCGTGCCTGTGTGCGGCGGCGACGGCTACCACGCGCCCCTGTGCGGCAGCGGCGGCGGCAGATCGATTGCGCTCCTGTGCGGCAGCGGCTGTAGCGGCGACGCGCCCGCGCGGCCAAGCAGCAGTGGCGTCACGGCAAGCGCTCGCTCGCCTGCGTGACGACGGGATGAGAAAGAAGATGGTTTTTTCAAAAGAGCCCTCATAAAGTTTATAAATATTTGTTTAACTTTTGTGTCTAGGCGATTATATATATAAACCCCCGCTAATATTCTATTCAAGCAATCAAGTCCTTTTTAGTATGCGGGCAAGGATCCATACCCGTTTGGATGCATATGAGATCCGACATGTCGGGTATCGAGTATTAGGGATACGTGAAGAAGGGATCTGAGGATCGCGGACGATAACTCGCCTAGATAATCAAGGACGTATTTAAGTCTCGACCGACCCCGAAGGGACGATTTTGCCTTGCCTCACAGACCCCTCGGGCATGGGCCCGGTGTCACCCGACCTCGAGGGTACGGGAGTCGTCTTGCTCGACCCTGAGGGCATGGGCTCTGTCTCGCCCGACCCCTCGGGCATGGGCTCCACCTCGCCCAGCGGGGTCCGTACCACCCCAACCACTACGGGCCCAAGCGTGTGGCCCTAGGTGTGGTAGAACCGTCCGAAATAACAAGCTTTCAGAGGCGCTCGGCTTTCACTAGACACTAAGCACTCTGAAAGTTAGCTACACCAGACAGTTCCATCGAGCACACCCCACGGAAGAACTCGAAACAATCCATGTTTTACATCCAAAAATTCAATAATAAGTACGAGCTTACAATACTTAGTCCATTTCATACCACAAGAGTTCTTGAAATTATTTATTACAATACCAGAGTTCAGAGTGCGATAATTAAACATCGGAATGAAAATAAACCTCTAGCGGAAACGATACAAGGATCCGTCTGTGCCCACCAGAAAAATCCTCCACACAAGAGCTACTCCTCAAGCTGCACCTGCAACGGGGTAAAATAAACACTGAGTACACAATATACTCGTAAGACTTGCCCGACTAGTGGGAATAGTTTTCCGACTCTCAAGGATATGGTTGGGAATATGGGTTTGTTATTTTCTTTTTTTTCTTGCGAAAAGCATTACTAGAAGTACGTCCTTAAGATCAAGTTTGAAAGCATCTAGGCCCCTAGTTGGGTTTCAGTGATTAATGACAATATAAGATTACTATGACTAACGTGTGTTTTGCAGAGGCAATTAAGTTAGATCATGGTAATGGAGATTGATTGGGCAATCATGGTGGTCATGCCCCTACGATGAAAATCGTTTCGGTTTCAAAGGATGGACAACAAGGTTAAGGATGGACTAGTTCTAAGTGTCAATTGGAGTTGGAGAGACACTTAGAGTAGTTTAGGACTTTGTTCTTCCTTTGGCCGTACTATTAAGGGTGGTATGGATGGGTAGCTTGACCTAGGTGAGTCTAGTGAGTTAGGTGTGATGCACACTTGTTAAAACTAGCACTAGGTAGCTTCAAAATAGCCCTTAGATCTAATGGAGCAAACTTCATTCACATATGATCGAGAGTTGGAAGTGAATGGAGGGTCAAATACTGACCGGACGCTGGCTCAGGGTCCGGTCAGTTCATTTGACTAAGGTGATTGCGTCTGGTTTGACCGGACGCTGAGAGGTGAAGTGACCGAACACTGAGAGCATGCGTCCGGTCGACTCCAGTAAGGTTCCAGAGAGGGAAAATCACGACCGGACACGAGCGTCCGGTCACATTGTAAACACTAGAGTTTGGGGTGTACTGACCGGAGCGTCCGGTCAACATGACCGGAGCATTCGATCACCCCAGAGGCACATAACGGTTTGTTTTTCAGCCCATGTTATAAATAGAACCTCCACTCGTGTGTGGGGGTACTTTTGCTCATTTAAACAGCTGAGAAACACCTTAGAGAGTGCCAAGAAGAGCCAGGTCCTAGTGAGGCGATTGAGATTTGAGAATCCCAAAGAGAGCCCTCATTAGTGAGATCAAGAGTAGTAAAGTGTGCATCCACCCTTCTCATTAGGCTTGTCGCGGTCAAGTGAGAGTTCGTGCTTATTACTCTTGGTGATCGCCATCACCTAGACGGCTTGGTGGTGATTGGGAGCTTGGTGATCATCCGGAGAGCTTGTGGATGACCCAACTCAAGTTGTGAGTGGTTGTGGGTGATTCACCGCGATGGAGTGTCGAATAATCAACTCATAGAGAGCACTTGATCCTTGCGCGGATCAAGGGGGAGCTACACCCTTGCGCGGGTGCTCCAACGAGGATTAGTGGGGAGTGGCGACTCTTCGATAGCTCGGTAAAACATCGCCGTGTTTCCTCTCCTCTCTTTACTTTGAGCATTTACTTTGAGCAATTCAATTCTTGTTTTTAAATTCATAGAATTGTCATGCTAGAGTAGGATTGGAACTTAGGTTGTAAGTCTTTTGTGCGGTAGAACAACTAGAAACACTTTCTAGGCACAAGGGGTTAATTGGACTAACCATAGGATTTAATTATTGCAAATAAATTTAGAATTAGCCCAATTCACCCCTCCTCTTGGGCATCTTGATCCTTTCAAAGTTTAATTAGCAGTCAGGATTACTTCATTAGCTAACCATTCTAGGTAAGCACCTATTCTACTTTCAAGCAAGGGTTGAGCAATCAGAACCATTTTACCATCTTTCATCTTCCAAATCTTACTACAGTGCTAGACCATAGCTAAGTCGTACCATCTCACGGAAACAAGTGATTCGTGAACCAATGTATCCCAGCTGGGTACCTCAAAACACATGTCTCGTTTGTACCCTAGGCAAAAACAAGACCAACCTATTCCACTCCTGTCAAGGGGTCTAGATCCCCGTCCAAACTTTGACTTCAAGCCCCCACATTTGAGATCCGGTCTCAGTATGGTGATTAGACCTCCACCTTTCCCGCCTCCAATCAGTCGGTCTGAAAAGAGCCGAAACCCATGACAAGAGTGTAACGAGCCTTCCCGCTCCCATAAGCAAGTATGTGCTCAGGATAATAAGCCTGTGACTTGACTACCATCCAC